GGGGGGGGTTAAAGCGAATCATACACGTATAGAAGTATATTCAAATCATTTCTCAGTGAAATTATTTTTAAAAAATTTTTGTTTGAAGGAAACAAACAATGAGGAGTGATATGGCACACGTCATTCATTAATAGACTCTTCAATTATTGAAACATTGATTCAAATTAGAATACTTAACCACTATTAAAAAGATTGGGCACTTAAGTACTAAAGCATTAAAAGCTGTGCTTTAAAAAAAGAAAGAAAAAAACATTAATTCGATCACACTGGAAATCTTAGGCTCTTAAACAAAAATTGTGAAGCGTCAAGAGCCACCAGGAAGTGGGCGCTACAACAGTATTCTTTGTTGTTATCATTACTGTAGGTATGTAATGTAACGTAGACTCGATTAATCACAGTACAGTATAGTAAGTCTGATTCCCTGTAAAGTCTTCTCTGTTGACACCCACCCCTTGGCGCTCATATGACCTTATGCAGCTGCGAGCGCCGTAAAACCCTCTACTATAATAATACAGTACCGTACATGTATAAAGTCATCCGGCATATTGATCAAGCTATAATTTCCTTCTTTTTTCCCTTTTGGTTGTTGTTCTGTTGTGAAAGACGAGTTAATGGAAATTTTCATGTTATTAATAGGCTGTGCGGCAGAGACCTATTATACACGTTCTTGATTTTATCAGGCGCTCAACATGGAACGGTCCACTGCAATATATACCAACAGATCTTTCCTTACCCGGTTTTGACAATCTTGTAATGGACTCGCCCTGTCCTAAACCCGGAAGATTAACATATTTTTATTGCTGGTTTCTGCTGGGTCTCAGTTGGGTTGACAAGCAGAAGGGCTATAGTCGTGTCCAGACAATGTGATTGTGAGGAACACGTCTGAGATTTTTCTCCGAATTAATGTATTTTCAAGGTTGTGTCTTCACCTTGCCAAGCAGTCACTGCCTTGAATTACACCTCAAGTGAGGAAACACGTGTAAGTACGGTAGTAGAAAGTTATAACACTTATATAGGCCTATTAATCAAGAAATATAAATTTACAAACAGGCTCATAACCTTCAAAGTACTGATTGAATGCTCTGGAAACATTCGTTTTTAGCGAGCGTATGGTGCAGTAAACTAGAAATAGTGCGAGTAATTTCAAAATTAAAAAAGAAGATAATGCAATTCTTTTCAATAACAAAGGAAGTGCATGTTATTATATATATATATGTATATATAT